AGAGAAGATGGTTAAGTAGGACGTAGGAAGAGAGATGGATAGGCCATCTTTGTTGAGGTATCTGTTGACTTTGGGGAGGTTGGACCCAATAATATCCAGACAGAACTCCAGGTCGTTGGATGAAATGAAGATATTTATATCGTCATCGAATTTGATGCATTTGCATAGAGGATCTAGGTATTTTGTGAGGTCTTTGACACTTATGTTTTGTAGAGAGTGGAGTTGGACATGCAGCTTTGGGGAATAACTTGGTAAAAAATGAAAGGGACTGTTAATTCACCGTTAACTTTGAATGTAATGAGTCTCGAGGAGGTAAGATTATAGAAAAATTGGTAGATAATTTCGGGTATCCCCATGTCTTTAATCGTGTGTATTAGTGAGCACGGATTTATAGAGTTAAAGGCACTTTTTACGTTAATTACGTCAAGAAAGAGGGCAGTGGTGCAGCCATTGTTAGCAAAGCTGGAGGAAATAGAGGAGGTGAGAGTAGAGAGATTGCCAATGCAGGATCTATTTTTACGAAAACCAAATTGAAGGGGAGAAAGGAGGTAATGATGTTTGAGCCACCAAGAGAGTCTACTACGGATCATTTTTCCAAGAAGTTTAAGAAAAAATTGGGTAAGAGAGATTATTCTAAATTTGTTCCAAACATTTTTTGGGATGAAAAAAATGAGGTATTCTCTCCAGGTATCTAGGAAGAGACTTTAAGATAATATTTTGTTGAAAAATTCAAGGAGGGAGATTTTGACATTGCTTGGAAGGTTGTTGATGACGATGTTGTCTATTTTATCAAGGTCTGAAGAAGAGTTGGGTTAAGTTCTTTTTAAGCTGGGTTTCTTGATAGTGCTATTGTTTTTGGACTCAGTAAAAGGTGTGGAGAAGAAATCTGTAATATTTTGAGTGGCTGAGAAAATGAGAAGAGAAAGTTGGAGAAAAACATGAGTCTTGGCACAGAGTACGAATGAGATTTTTCATAGAGTCTATGTTTGATTGATTAGTGAGTGAGGATGAAACTGGGAGAGTATTTTGTGTCAAAATATTTTAACAGTGTTCCAAATGATTGTTGTTGAGGATGTTGGAGAAAGACTTTCGTAAAATTTTTTAAAGAATTTAGATTTGTGTTTTTTAAAGGTTGCTTTAGCTAATACACCAGCTTCAACAAGGGGATCACATAGATTTAGGTTACGTCTGAAGTTTCTGAGGGCAATTTTCCGACTTTTGTCGGCTTCTGCACACTCAGAGTTCCACCACGGAGGGTGGCTAGGTTTGGGACGCTGGGTGGGGCTGAAGGGAGAGAACGATTGGATAGTAATAAGAGAGGTGGCGTCTGTCATTTTTAAGTTGAGGAAATTGTATTTGTCTGGGATTAATTGTGAGGAAGAATCAGCGAAAGTAATCGTCCTACGGTGGTTTTTAAAGGCTAGCAAATCATCGTTGCTGGTTTTCTTAAAATTAAATCTGTGGGAGTTTTGGAAATTAGAGGGTAGGGTTACGCCCAAAGTGACTCCAATTGGGAAGTGATCTTTCATGAAGTTATCACACGTGGTTTGCCATGCGTTAATGGTATGGAGTGAGGTAGAAATGAATGCGGGGTCAATCCAGGATTGGTAGAGTGGGTTAGAGCGGCTTGTGTATGTTGGGGATTAATCATTGAGAAATTGAAGGTTGTGGGTAGAGAATGTTAAAATATTGGGCATAGCTGGGAGCTGCGCCATGCTGGGTTATAAAATTTAAAGTCACCATTGATGATAGTATGAATTAAATCAGGTATTAAATTTAAGAGAGAAGTCCAGTAATGATCAAAGAAGAGCTTTAGTTATCTAGAGAGGGCTCTGTAGAGTGTAATTATAATGCATAAAGATTGGTTTTTAGTGTGAATGGAGATGGCTAGAGTTTCTAGGATCCTACGCTTATGAAAGGTGTCAAGGATTCTGAATGTGATATTATTACGGATGAAAATAACTATGTCGCCAAAAGGTATAATTCCATGGGAGAATTCAAAGTCCTTGTTTAATGTTGAGTTGTGCAGCCATAGGAATTGAAGTTGTTGTTTAGAAGTTCTAGGGAGTGGATGACGGGTGATGGTATTTGGGATTGGCCTAATTTAGAAAAGAGTGGACCAAAAATTTTATTGATACGCTCTTTTAGTGAGGAAACAGTTTGTGTGAGGCTTTTAAGAGTGTGGTCATTGTTTGGAGGGAGTAAGTGGGATGAGGAGTATGGAGGCTTGGAAAATATATTTAACGTACAATATATTAAATTCCAAGGATGAAGGGGTGGCTAGTAAATCATTTTGTTGGACGTTAAGAGAGAAAGTAGGATTTTACGTTATAGAGTTTGTGTGAGTCGCTCTTGGTGGTGTAAACCAAGATCGTCACCACGGTTGGTAAGCCATACAGGCTTTCGTAAATCTGACATATAGCTGCGCTAAGCTGCTACTAGAGTGCGGGATCTATTCCTAGTCAAATCAGTATTTAAAAAAAGTCTTGTGGCTGGCTCTGTACCTCAGAACGATCCGTAGGTAGGTTCCGTAAGTGTATACGTAGAAGTAAGAATGAAAAGAGAAGAATAGAAAAGTCGCTTGGGTAAGAGGGTATTTAGAGGTAGTAGATTTTAAAACCAGTAGGAGATTAAGGTTTTAGGATATGTTTTGCATAGGGTATTAGATAGCGTTAGAATCAACACCCTAGACTAAAGGTGGTTGTGTCTTATCTTGTTATTTATTTGTTTTTGGGTGTCCAATTGGACTTCGTTATGCCACAACACATGAATTCATTTTTTTCGTAAAGTATGTAATTAAATGGAGAAAAAAATTCCACCGAGGTGCCACGAGTGCATAGAGTGGGGATCAAACCCTAGCTCTCAAAGTGGAAGGCAAACGCTTTATACCACTGAGCCACTGTTAAATAAGTATTATATTAGCGGTTAAAGGGTTTCTACAAAAATTACAGAAATTGTTGTGCAGATAGAAAAAAAAAAATCCCTGAATGAAGTTAAAATCACAGCAGACTGAATGTAGTTGTGATTCTGAAAAAATAGTTAAATGTAGTTGTAAAATAAAATAATAAAAAAATTAACATATTATGAAATAGTAAATTTTCGTTTTAAAACTACATGTGTATTTTTTAAGTAAGAATTAAATACAGCAGAAAGTTAGAAATTATATTTTTCAACTGTTTTATAAAAACTAAAATTCAGAATAACGTAGCAGATTAATATATTGTCAATAATTCATTGTGACTTAAAATGTATGAGTTAATGTTACTAAGTCATCGTCATGATTTATTTTCTGAAAAGGTTAGATTTTACAATGGAGTACGTACAAATAAAAGTGTTCTTTGTAAACATTAACTCTAGTCGTAATAGTTATAAATATTTACTCTTATTCTATGCTCATGAATACTTTATAAGATAACACTTGTGCATGCATTATATACATAGTAATGCATATTGTATTATTAATTAGCATTTTCGTACCACGTATTATATTCTTACGATACTTTACTGTATTAATAGATACACATACAAACATTGCACAGTTCCGTAATATTTTTCTTATAATAATGTATCATATAATTAAGTGTTACAGTTGCAAGAATCATTATTTTTAAACTGGTTGAAAATTGTAATTTACTTAGGATATGATTACAAAATTGAAATTTTTATCAAAAATAGACATCGATTGTATTACTTCTATTTCTTGTAAATGACGCAACAAACTTTTAGCAGCAAAAGATTTTCTTTCGCTAGTTACTAAGAGAAGTCATCGATTATATAAAGTTGGAAACAATTAGAACCTTGAAATTGCGCTGTTACTTTTTATATTTGTCTGAAAGTACGAATATGTTACATTAACTGATAATCGTATCTACATACTTTACTTAGTATAGAGCGATGGTTAATAAGCAAAATTAATTTTATCCTATTTTATAGCTTTAATAGTTGCTTGTAATAGCGATGATTTCTGTTTACGTGGAAAAAAAAGACATCGAAATAATAAGGTCTAGTATAATCAAAGTCTACAAAATTATTTTTAACCACTTATTTAGGACTTTGTTATTGTTATTGTTTAATAAATACAATTACTTTAATACCTCTGTATATTTATTTTAGTATGGCTGATGCTTACAATAATGACCCAAATTGATGGCTGAACATGACGAATACATAAAAGAAATAGCGTTTTATAGTTGTGATCAAAGATTATGCATAGTATTTACTAAGATATGTGTAAATTTACTCGATTTTACAAATTAGTTACATAATAGATTGATATGTTTCAAATTGTTTATTCCACAGGGTAAATATAAAATAAATTATTTTCTTAAATTTCAAAAATTTAAATGTAATAAACAATTTTATAAATTCCTTACATTTTAAGGAATCTTAAATTAATTAATTAAACTTATCTTATGTAGAACTGACTACTTTGAAAATAAACGGAATAATCTTAGATTATAAATGTATAGACTCTTTTTAAAATCAAAAGTTACTGGACCCTTGGTGTTTTTAAGTTCATATAAGTTATACGATCAAAAATAATTAACTTTGATTTAAATATATGCATTATCCCAAATATTAGAGTGATAATGAATTGAGAAACGAAAGTGTCCATTGAATTTTTAAGCGAATAAGAAATGGCTATTATCAAATACGCTGCCATAATATTATCTATTTCTACATATTTTCTACATAATGTAAACTTGATGCATTTTTTACAAAATAAACACAAGCAACACAATAATACAACTTGTTCTTATTATAATAATGAAATTAATATTTTCATCGATGGTTTATTGCTAAAAAATTTTGCAAGTAAACGATATCTTTCCTATTCTACTTTTTTAAATAATTAATTATCCATACGTTCAATAATGACTGAAAACAACTATTCAGCAGTATAGAAATCATGTTACACTGAATGCTGTACCAAAGTAACATCAATCGCTTACTGTTTTCACTTAATCATTAGAATGATTGTTTACGAAAACGATAATATATATCGTGCCAAGATTTATTTCATCAACTGTTGAATAAAACAATTTACAATTATTTTCAAGAAATGGAAATTAGTAAAGAAAAAAAATTTACAATTTCCGCAAACTATCAAGTCTTTTATAACGATAAAACTTTTCTAACACAACAGTAACAGAAAAATTGTGGCTTATCGATGTGTACGACCAACAGCTTCTTTAAGTACATCCTCCAAGCTCACAAAAAAATTGCAATCACATTCGGAAAAGCAGTATATTTCCCACTTGCTAAAATTGAAAAAGCCAAACTTCTTTCAAGAAGGGGGTCCACGGGTACTGTCAGCAGATATCATTAGAAGGTGTTGCCACCGTCGAAGAACTCAAGGTCTCCTCCTCCCGGGCGCTGGGGCCTCAGGCCCACACAGTCTCGAGGCGAGCATTCGATCCTAGCACCGGTACCGCATCTACATTCTACGCAATTGCCTGTCGAGTGGGGCAGCATCTCACCCTCTTGGTATGCCCTTCCTGAAAAAGTTATAAATATGCATGAGTGTGCAGTATGATTAAGTCCCTGAAATAAAAAAATTAAGTTAAAATGAAGGATTGATAAAATTGAGCATTGCCGATACAGTGGAAGTCAAATGAGTGCTCAAAAGCATTAATTTCAAATCAATATCAATTACTATCAGACCTCACAGTCAGAAAATCAATGAATATTGTTAGAGCTGAAAAATATTATTGAGGTTTTCAATTTTCGTTCCATCACTTTTCATAAAGGTTTTTTCGCAAGTTTTGGTTCACTAAGAATTTTAATATGCAAAATACGTGATCTTTCATTAGACTGCGAGCTATTTGCCCAAAATTAAAAACAATAATTCTTTTTATAAGCACCGTAAGTCTCTAAACAAAATCAATATACATATTTTTTCCTTTAAAAATTTCAAAATAGAAAACTTGAAAATGTATTGAAAAATGAAGTAAAATAACTAAATAAAAGGTTTTTGTGGTTTTCAGGTTAGTTTTACCATAATGTCAATCCTATCTTAAAAAAACGATAGGTCACGTGATAAAGTCTGTTTATACGTCGCGTGATTGGCTGAGACTGATCCAGCGTGGGTAGATTTGAAAATGAGATTTTGAAAAATCAGTGAAAAGTCATTTTAATTTGTAACTTCATAAATATTACAATATTACGTGTTACGACAAAGATATAATTATTGTGTTTTTCTTTAAAAATATAGAAAATAAATGTAAATTTAGGGGGTTGGCGTGCGGAGCGCACCGGAGGCGCAGCTCTCTAGTCTTAAAAAAAAACCATGAAAACATAAATATGATTTTAAAATTGATGTTTTGCAGTTGTTAAATGTGTTTTCATGGCTTTGCTGACATTCAGAGTTTTAAAATAAGTTTTTAGTGCCAAGTTAATCATATTACCGTTGTTTATAATACACGTGTGAGTAAGCTTCTAATCTATGGTATTTTAATTAAAATACCTGTCTTATGGTAGATAACCTACAATTTTTGTATCATAAATTGCATCGTCAAATTCTTGTGTGATACACTACCATAATAGGGGCTTAGCCAGGGGATATACCCTTAAAAAAGGACCTGTTGTTACCGCAACGCCCATTTAAAATTTACTAAAAATCTTATTTTAATTAATATACGAGTACATGGCTTTTCGGAAAACAACAATAGAGCCTGGTTCTATAGTTTTAAACTAGTTTGTACCGTACATAAAATGGAAAAAATAATTTGAAACATTCTTAACACTTAATTTCAAAGCAGTTCTTGTGAATTGATAAGTATTACTGTAGGACGGAAAGATACAAGGTATTATTATTTATAAAATTACTTGCTTACTTGCAGGTGTGAGTGGAATGTAGCATTACATTCTTGTATTCTAATACTCTTACGTTCATGAATACCTTACAAACCTACATTGTCAGAAAAAAACCTTTTTTTAAGTAGGTACTGATACGGTAATTTTAACGTTTTAACCATAAAAAATGAAAACAAGTATAAAGGACCTTTCATTATTTTAAGTAAATTGGGTCTTACATTTCTTCCTAACTGTGAGTGTTCGTGCTTATGAATGCGTGAGCATTTATGAGTAAAAAAGTGATTAGTCCGTATTGGTCTAAAGTTCTGAACCAGAGTTAATGACTACATATACCTTAATCGAGACCTTAATCAAGCTTGGCCCTGCAAACGCGTTAGTTCAAAATCTTGCCAAGTGAAAGAGCTGTCCTCGCCTATCTTGAACTTCTTAGGAAAAAAAGTAATGCTTAATTGTGGGCAAAAAGAGAATGAGCCAGCTCCAACATAACTTAAGCCTTATAAGTATTCAAACAGACCAATCTTTTGTATAGCAAATCAGAACAGATCTTTTTTTTAGACTGTAATGTGTTGTTTTTAGAGCACTTGTTTTGAAAACTCAATTGAATATGCAAATATGCTTATGACTTCTAATTAATCGTAAAATCCAAAGTGTTAGTGGTTTCATTCCTTTGGCGCGAAGAAGATCCACCATAAGTACGTTGGATTTCAATGAACACGTTTGATGCTGGATAAGTAAATAGAGAAGGATGTAAAGTGAGACAGTAGTTTCAGAACCAACCAAACGTTCCTCTGCAATATCTTATACCGCACAACTTACAGATCTACATAGGTACAAACGAGGTAGTACCTGATAAAGGACGTTGTATCAGGCAAGCATCTACGTATTACACAAATACACGAGAGCACGAGAGTATCGTCATCATTAACGGGCCGTAGGCAGTGTAGTCTCGTTTCTCTGACACGGGGTGTGGGTGCTTTGTTCTAACGGCGTTTCAGCCACGACGGAGCTGCGACGAAACGAAGCTAATCTCTAGCCTCTGGATCCCTTAACAGCTGCGCGTTGTTATCTACTCTCTTAAGTTATATGCATACTCTGAAGGAGAAACGCACCTTGTATTGCATACGATGCACAGCTGCTTTGGTTAAGTATACCGATATGAATAATTCCTCGAAAAATTATCAACGATATTATTAAATACAATCAGCTTGTGGTGTTTATTGTGTATATTTTTGGATTATTTTAGAATTTCTGTGGTCAGTTTTTGAAAAAGTAAAAAAAAAAAACTCTTTTTTACCGACGTTTTCTGCTCGAGAAGTCAAAAACTGTCCAAGACTCGAACAAAGACTAGTTAGGTTGAAGAATAATGTTTGATTAAAATTTTTATTGACTCCAAGTTTGCTTATCGAATTTTGAATTCCCTGAAAAACCCTTGTCTATCAAACTTGAAAGTCCATTTTGAATGGACTTTTTTGAACCATGTGTATAACGTATAGTTTTTTTGTAAGATCGATCTTATGCATGAATATACTCCTGGAGAGCATTATTGTATCAACGAGAGCCATGCCAAGACGCCAATTATTTTCCTGTACGTATAAGTCTTATCTGCCTGTTCTTCTTCTGTCTTCCTAATGTACGTCTTCCGTAAGAGTCGTACCAGCTAAATTCACGATGAATTGTCGGAATTTCATCTTTAGTTGCTCACGTTACAACAAGCCCGTAAGCAGATCCACATATTTAGTGTGGTATATACCTTTACTGTGTATCCAAGGGTGTTGAAATAGTACGTTCTAAGTATGCAGTTAAAAATGCCATTTTTCGAAAAATATGTACAAGAAATTTAGATGATTGTTCAATGAATACTATTTGGTCAGTACTATAAAATTGAATACTGTAATCCGGAGACTATACACACTACAAGATCACAGGGTATCAAACATCTCTGTTCACAAGTTTTATATTGAAATTTAAAATTTTGATTTTTTCAATTTTGTAGAACTATAGAACTAGTTAAGAAGGTTACTTATGTATACATAATTAGCAAAGGGAATTCCAATGAAAGTGTTTGTAAGTTAAAAAAAACAAAGAAAATACTTCACTAACGTTTACAGAGTAATAGTCAATATGTTATTCAAAAAAAACTTCATCTTTTAACAGAAAGTCTTACGGGATACCAGAACATTTTGCAACTTTTAACGATGTTGAAACGGGGTAGTTTTAATACGTAATAAATCATGTAATCATTTGTTATGCTGGAGTTACAAATTTTTATTACGATAGGATATTCGTTCAAGTTATCATAAATACCTTAATAGGTGTAAATAGCATAATTTGCTGATCAAATAATATTATAGGGGTAAAATTTTGTGTTTGGTTTACCGTGAACCTGAATTCTTTTTTAAACAGTAAATTTAGGAATCAACCAATGATTACAGGTCGGCTTATTGTTGTGCTGCAATTCGTGGAAGGGAACTTCTCAATCTTTACGTATAAGATTCTCGCGTTGCAATTGTTTAGTTCGTCCCTAATGAGTTATCCTCCTAATTCAACAATTCTTGGAATCGATTTCTAACTAAAACAAAAATGTGGAACTACTTTGCACGAATTATGCCAATTTGTAATTGTATAACATTTATATGTACGTAGGAAAAAAAATAATTTTTGACGATGTGGAGTGATTGGTATTAAAAGTATGCACACAGGTCTATCGAAACTTTCACGACGAGCTGTACCGCAAAATTACGGGCGTAACTCCGGTCTAGAACTACCCTTTGCTCTTCTCCCCGGAGGTGCTGTACCGTAAGACAGGGTCTTGGCGCCTTGAGGCAGGTACAGTGTATACACGGACTAAATGAAGAGAGCAAGAGAGCAGTGGAGACTTAGTGGGACAAGGACTCTCCTTCATTAGAGCTCGCACGTTAATTCCCGAGACTTAAGGACTTGCTTGTACCTTATATACATAGGGAGGGGGGGGGGAGGATTGTTATCTGACTGTCACTCCTGAGAACCTCGTTTTCGTCACCCCTCCTTTTACGCGCTTCTATAGAAGTTAATGGCCACGCGTGACAGCGGAGTTGGACGATTAATATCGTACACTGTAGATGCACGTGGATAATTTAACGGCTTGTTAACTAGGCTTTTGTGCTTTTAATGGATTCCATTAGCATGTGTAAACGACACTTTATTATCTTTTTTTTTGGTTTAATTATCCATTTTTGAGATTCAAGACAAAAGAGATGATATTTATTTTGTCGTAATCACTGTTTTGTTGCATGAAGGGAGTTATCGTCACATTTTGTTTCCTCCACACATTTTTCTACAAAATTGTAACAAATCCATTTTATCACCACCAGTTAAATACAAAAAATTATAGAAAGTCTTATTTTTTTTTAATTTCATTGCAAAGATCTATAGCTATTCGTGGGCTCTTATAAAAAGGCCGTTGTAAATTCGTTAGAAAAGATACGTTTTTCATTTGAATTCTAAAAACTTCCTATAAAGGAGCAAGATAACTGTAATTAAAGTCATTACTTTAAATTTTAATGAGACTAACTTTATTGTTTAAATAATTACCAAACAAGCTAATTAAATGTTGATGCAAGCAATAACCAAAATATTATTGTCAACAAAAGAAGAACAAATCGTTCTTTGGGGCATAGTAACAAAAAATGTGGATCTCAATGGCAATTTATTTTCATACTGTTGTTCAACAGAAATTACCTATAATAAGGTCCCAACCTGATACGACCCAATGTGATTGTTAATTTTTAAGTTTCCTTATAGTTTTTTTTCCCCTTAAAGACGTTAAAAATCGGCCGAATGTGAGACCCATTTGACAGACACAACCAAGATATAACGTACATGTACTCATAAGGTACTATTCAAACCATCCTGATGATGTATGATGAGTAGGTTCAACAAGGTTGAAGCCAATATACATGATCCATGTGTGGTTGCACCTTTGGCTCTGATAAACCTATTAAATCCTACTTAATCGCATTTTTGTCCGAACATCTTACGAAGAATTGGAATAAAAAAGAATTACCCATGAAAAGACACGGCTCTGGAGCTTTTGTGGGTCTCGCAGCAGAAGTCGTCGTTAACGACGACATCGTCGTGGCGTTCATGGCTGCGGGTACGGCCTGTCTCACATCATTACTTTCCTGATCTTCTTCTTCCTCTTCCTCTTCTTCCCCCTCGTATTCGTCGTCGTCTTCATCGTCTCCTATTATGTCCGACTGCTCGTCCGACTCCACATTGTTGTCCTGCAATTTCGACCAAATGTTACCTTCTTCATTTCAAGATAGTTGTATGGCTTTTACGACTTACTTATGAGTAAAAAATTTAATAAACTGAAAACCAATGTTACGGATAGTGGTGAACTCAAATAATACATTTACAAAACATGTTACCATAAAGTCAGTTATAGTTTCAATTAAACGAGCATTGTGAAGATATTAGTTTCTTTAATAAAAAATTACAATATTTAAATTGATTCTAAATTGTTAATACGATGAGTGACATTAGTAAAGTTAGACGGTCAGGAAATATTTATTAAAAAATTTGAGTGTTTACAGGCAAGTGAAAATTAGATACATACGCAACAGTGAAATTCTGTTTTAAGCACTAACATAGAATGGTTGGGAAGAGATACGTCAATTATTTTACTTTTTAAGTAAGTTTTTCCTTAATACCAAGGTTTGTAACCAAATTTTTTTTTTCCTTCTTCTTAAAGACTTATTTAGGTGGAAATTAAATGTCTACTGCAATTTTTGAGAAATCCTTAAAGAATTTTGAGAAATTGGGTTCGCTGGGATGGTTTTGAATAAAAGATCACGCTTCTTTCGTGATGGTAAAATCTTTTCGTCGAATTCGCGGGTGGCGAATCCAAGGTCCCCAAACGTAATCCTCTCTGTCAAATATTTCACCCCAAGCGCAGCGAAACTCGCATGCATGGCATCGACTTTTAAAGAAACGAGCTCACGGAAACGAAAGGTCTTCGATCAAGAGGGAAGATGAAATGAAACTTGTAACTCTAAAAATTTCAGCTCCCCATAGACGCGTGCCCAAATGTTACCACTGTAAATCCCAGTCCAGTCACAGTACACAATTCACGTATATTACATAAATGTGTATAATTTAAGATAACGTATTTGTTATCCACGTAAATGTTTTAAACGCATGTTACACTCCAAACTTAGACAGATGGGCATACATACATCAAGCTGATCGCCGGATGACTCCTCGGAGGCCTCGGGCGGTACCTCGCTCGAGTAGTCCTCTTCGGTCGTGCCAGGGTCTGGGCGACCCTCGTTGTCCGATAGCTCTATGCCACCATCGTTGACGTTGTTTTTGTTGTTCCTGTTCTCGTTGTTATTGATGCTGTTGTCCAACTTCGAGGAGAAGGAGGAGTCTGGGGCAAAAGCGGACAATGCCTTGGGCGATCCAAAGGTCTGCCACCAGCAGTACACCTCGCCGGCCACGCAGAGACAATGCGAGCTTTGGTCACGCGATGGTATCTGAAATATTTACTCGTCAGAATTTCTTTTTTGTTTCAATTTCAAGGATACTGGAAGGGGCTTGAAAGAGGAGCTTTACGTGTTTTCTGTGCGACGACAAATACTTTGGAGGGTGAGTTTTTTCAATTTGTATGTTGTGGAATCTTATGCTTTTTAATTATACTAAGATTGGCATGTAAAACAAAAAAAAAAAAATTCCCGTGATCAATTTCATCGTTGCAATCTTTTTGTATCGTATATTAAAATTTTCTCATTTCCATGTTTAAATTAAAAGTTGACTCATCGTATGGTTGAAAAATTTTATAAATACGCTTACGATCCAGCAGTTGAAGTGAAATTAAGGAAGTATTTTGGTAATATTTTATCGAAATTATAGTTATTTTATCAGCTTCAACGAGATTCGTCAGGAATAAGAAGCTGCGTTTATAATTAAAGTCCCTTCCACGAAAGTATGTACCAACTTCGTTAAAGATAGAAAAAAGTTGTCAACTGAAATAAATTGAGGTTTCTACATTTAATCTTAAAATATTATGGTAAGGTGTTGGTTTTAGCAGTTCTTAAAATCTTATCACCGGTAATGTAGTTACAAGCTTAGCTGGATGAGGGAGATTACATGCCTTGAGCCATATTCAATATTCCAGCTGAACCATCTCAGTCTCTGTTTGTGAGACCTCGAAAACAATTTCATGTCAAATTGGAGAATATAAAGATAACATTTTTAGTCAAAGAATATATTGAACACTGTACTGTCGTTTTACACTTTTCAATAAAGAACTGATCTACCAGGGGTTGAATAGAAGAATACCATGATTAAAAAAATTCTAAAAGTATGCGTTGAAATAAAATTTTCATTGAGAAATAACAGCATTCAGAGTATAGTGGCTTGGAGCTGCGATTTTGGCTTCAAAGAAGCAGCCCACATAAATGGTAATTACGCGCTATAAACACGGTTTTCGTAACAGCAAAGGCTCATACGGGTCAACGCGATAAGGTCGAGTTTGGCAATAATTCTGTTAGAACTAAGTAATCACAACTTGTGAACTAGTCTCGTATACACCGGCGTTGGAAATTTAGATTAGGATTGAAATCTGGATCAGCGGTAATGAAAGCTGCTGGTGTTAGGCACATAAATATGTGCGCATACATGTATATACATTTCTCACAACAGTACGCGTTACTCAAACCAGCTTTCTGCGGAGAAATAAAAATAATTTGAAAAATATTGAATTCAAGCTCGAAAATTTATTGCTAAAAAAAGTCGTGACTTCACACAATGTGATTGCTATTCTGTAGCAATCAAAATTAAGAAAAAATTCCCTACAAAATGACAAGCTTGCCATTTACAATTGAAAACTTATCTCTTATTTTACGATGTATGCAACAAAAATTCTTATTCGACTGATCCAAAACAGTTTGTTGTACCATGTACGTATCCACCTAAAAGTGTATGAATGAAAAAATTACTTCAATTTGAGAAGCTAGCAAATTTTTGAGTAGTGAATGGGATTATCCTGTCTATTTTTTGCGATTAAAAAAAGTTGTTAACCATGAATTAAACACTTTGTTAACTACTGTCTCGATAACCATATGATGCAAGAAAGCCGTGACTTTGTAACACAGGGGGATCATCCACGAGCTGTCAACCATCACCGACGACGCGTCAAAACAACAAAACCCTGCCTGATGAATCCAATGACCGGTAAACAAAACTCTCGATGCACAACGACCGCGAAGCGCCCGTATACAGATCGCGAGGGACAACGGCGAATCCTTCCGCTAACGAAGCCACTCGTGCCGAATGAAATTCCATCCACCCAACCTGACAGGAGCGGAGAACAAAAGGAGCCACGCAGGGACCGTGCGTGGGGCGGCTTAATCGCCGGGCACGCGGGGAATATTGGAGAAATAAAGCCGATGGCGCTCAATAAAAAAGCGACGCGCCCTTATGGAGCGCCAAAGTGTACAAAAGACGGACTTTGCTCGTGTCTTTGGAAAAAAATGAAACGTGGAACAATGAAGGGCAGAGCGAGAGAGAAGAAGACTTGTTTTTTTTTTTTTTTTTTTTTCAAAGCGAAACAGTGGTGTACGGGTGGGCCGGGTGACCCCGTCATACTTGCCGAGGTACACACGAGCCTCGCGAGAGCTGCTCGAACTAATTGGATGCAGAGTAATAATGAACGCGCGTATCGATGTCGCTTCTTGCCTTTTTTTATCTTTTGGGGCAGTCCTGTCTGACTCGTGTGCGTTCATTTGCGAGTATGAGCCGTCCGAATGAATGTTTGCTGAGGGAAACTTTTTCTCCCTTTTTTTTATGTCATACTACACGAGATAGAAAGATTTCGTTTTAATTGGGATGAAAATGCACTTGCGTAAATTATACCGATATTCCGATGGCTTGCAAGTTTCCTTATTTCTACATATATATGCTGGATTTTTATTCGTTATTTTCAATTAATTGATGTTTTGAGTCATGGACAAAATTTCCAAAGACGAAAATTCTGACAAAAAATCTATGGACAAAAATTCCAAAGACAAAAATTCTGACAAAAATATTTCCCGAGGACTTAGGGTACTTACTGGCCATTCTAATACATAATAAGCCCTTCAATAATAACACAAATGCCTATCACCCGATGACCCAGGGTGCTAACTGGCCACTCTAATAAACAATATTAATTACTAAAGTAAGCGCCTATCACCCAATGACCCGGCGCGCTAACTGGCCACTCAATTAAATAGGAGAATTATAAATAATAATACATGTGTCTATCGGCCAAGGACTCAGGGTGCTTACTTCTCACTGTAAAAAATGATATTAATTATTAACATAAGCGCCTCGCCGATGACCCAAGGCATTGAATGGCTACTACAATAAATAATAAACTCTTTAATAAAAACACAAATGCCTATTACCCAATGACCCGAGATACTAACTGGCCACTAAAATAAATAATAAAATGTTAAATAATAATACAAGCACCTATCACCCGATGACCCAGGGCGCTTACTGACCACTCTAATGAATCATTAAATATTAAATAATATCACCAGTGTCTATCACCCAATGACCTGGGGCGCTAACTAGTCGCTCTAATAAATATTAATTATTAACACAAGCACCTATTACCCGATGACTCGGGGCGTTTAATGGCCTCTCTAATAAATAAAATAATCTTTAAAAATAACACAAATGTCTATCACCCAATGACCCAGAGCCCTTACCAGACACTCTAATCAATGATAATAATTATTAACGTCATTGCCTTTTACCCGATGACCCAGGGTGCTAAATGGCCACTTTAATAAATAAGATAAATTATTAACACAAGTTCCTACCACTTAATAACCTGGGCTGCTTCATGGCCATTCTAATAAATAATAAACTCTTAAATTATAACACAAGTGCCTGTCACCCAATGATCCGGGGTGCTTACTGGCCACTCTACTGAATAATTGAATATTAAATAATAATACAAGTGCCAAAAACCCCATGATTTGGGGTGCTTTCACGATTTTGGGCTTAAAGTGATTTAATGTGTCATAAGAGGTTGAACTGAATAAATTTGGTTGAGATTCGTAATTAGCAATCCAAAAAATAACCGATTCCAGACTCGTTTCGATTATGTCTCATCTTTGACGTTTAAATACATGCTTATTATACTATCTATCAATTTTTCCCACATTGGACTACGGCCGATACAATCACATTGATTTTTTCATTTAAATTGCTGTGTTACATATTATAGCTATATCAAAAAAATATATCCGTAACAAACAAAACTTAGTTAAACCAAGATATTTGACAGAAAAAACTATGTAATGTATTACAATCTGTATGAAGTAAACACGAGCTCTTTAATTCATTAAATAAACAATAATCACCAAAAACTGTGAGAATTTTCTCAACAATCAAGCGCAAACTCATGTCTTAAGACAGCGCGACTTTGTCGTTGACTCACCATTTGGCTGTGCGTGTACACGTTGCCGTCAACGAGGCACTTTTTGTCAAAGGGCTGTGGACTCGTGGCCCCATACTCGTTGTCCACGTCGCTGCGCATCGCGATGTCAACCTCGCCTATGAGCACCTCCTTGCCGCTCCGCCCAGGCGCTAAAACACACAAACACCAATGAGACATCATTAGCACATAATTTTGTTTCATTCGCCCCCCCCCCTCTTTCTCCTAAAAGGTAATTCACGTGTACATAGTCTCATCGGAAGTTTTTGGCTTCCGGGGGGAGAAGTAGCGTTAGATAAGGCAAACCGCAAAAGAAAGTTAATCCACGTGCACAAGGCGATCAACGGGAGATATGGGGGCACACCATGGCACTGAGCGCCAGAGGGGATGGAAAGGGACGCTCGATAAACGCATACATATATTCATGTGCCATGATAATGGTTGAGGTGGTACATTCGTATGAGCGTGGGCGGGTTCGTATCGAAGAGGTAGGACGGGGAAACGATTTCACTTTAAAAAGCAATTTTGTACTTTCGAGCTTGTTATTTTCCCGTCAACGACTGGGTAATTGCTTGTAGTTGCTTCCCCTCGCCCGGCCGATGTGTTACACTGCCAGTAGAGGCTCTTGAGACTCACGTGCGTCCTTTTTCGTCTTTTCAAGAAATTGCTCGTGGAGGAGATGGAGGGAACTAGATGAGTAAGCGAAAAAAAAAGTAAAAGTCGTTTCTTATGGGTACCTTAATTGATATTCTTCGCGGTAACATCGATTACATAATTTTAGATTCCATAAATCATTTTTTTCTTTTTTCTTTTTTAAGTTTAAAAACATTAAAAACAAAGCAAAATTCGCAGCTTTCTGACGCATACATAGAACAGAAGTATTGTCATTAAAACATAACTTTGGCACTTGGCATACTTCACACTTCCATCCAGGATTTAATTCCCTACTGTTGTTATAAATGGTCAAAAATATTATAATCATTTAAAAAAATGTTTTCTAGCCTAGTATGGAAACAATACAAGCAAAATGCACTTGTTTGGACAAAAACGTGACTCATTGTTTATTTAACGCTTTGAAAATTTTGGATGTAGTTTTAGAATATTTGTACGTAATTAAACATACACCTACACACATTTTTTCCCAACAAAATACATTACCTTACAAGAAATTCGATACTTTTTTAGATTACACAGGACCACAAAATAAATTAAGTCAAAGTGTATATTTTAAAGTAACCACACGTAGGTATTCCATGTATTTTGAGGCGTTGAAACCCAATCCAAAGTCCATATTGCGCCACTAGGTCGCAATTTTCTTTTTTTAATTAGAAAAATACATGCCTAAATAACAATGCTTTTAAATTCGTCTATGAAACCTTGAAATGTAATTGTACACATTTATAATTCAACATACACCAACAACCATCAACTTACATATTTTTTTAACAAAATACGAAATTTTGTTTAATTTTTTGATTAACTAAAACTATCGTCTATGGTAAAATCAATTTAAATGGTTAGAAAAAAAGATTTTTTTACATCAAATAACGTTGATGCTACCACATAATGTATATTCATAACTACATGCATAATAGTTCAAATGACTTACGATTCGTTGTCACTTAAAGTATCGGACACAATTTTTATGCTAGATAAAATATTTTCCGCGACATTTTTGAGTAATCATGCAGCGTATCCACTTTTTCTTTTTTTTTTAGAAAAAGTATTTGGATTAACAATCACGATAAACTAAATCGAAGGTGAATGATAATAAGTTTGTAATGCGTGTGATACGCACCTACACAGGAACATGTATGCATACACACAATCTAATACGAACCAGGGAGCAACAGCTGCCACAGCGGGTCATGCTCCCAAGAGCTTTCCAGAGGAGATATCAAGAGCGTGTCAGCATGTACATGGGCGTTATTATCGGGTCCATCGGAAATTAGTCCGACTATCGGATGATCCTCACCTTCTGCTCGGCACACGTATATGGATCAAGGCACGTAGTCTGTCACGTTTATCAAATCCAAGGGTGAGATGGAGGGATCGGGAGACATCGAGGACAAGAGGGATGGAATACTGTGATACAAGTTGAGTATTACTTTTACTGCTTTAGGAAGTGATCGATCTTCATTAGAGACAGGCATCAGGAGAATATCAAAAAGAAGGTCTTTGATGCATACCCTTAGTTGTGATGAATATTCGTCTGTAGGATTAGATAAAATGCATGTGCAACAACAGTCAAAAGACTTAAATAAAGCTTGTGAGGGTCGTGATTCTATGTAGATGTACTTATTGGAATTTAATATATACTATTACAATAGAGTTCTTATACGTGAAGTCATACACTCATGTGTATTAATATTTCTGGGATCCACCTATAAGAGGGATGGGAGGCATTGAAGACTCGTTGGTATGATACTGCATTCATACTGTCCTCAGTATGTATCACAAGATACCTCAGTTGGAGTGTGTAGAAACGTAGTCAGACTCACAATGCCCGTAACTTGTGATGCACAACGTCCCCGGATCATTGATATAAATATTTATATATATATTTACTCTCTTGTGATACCTTTGGGTGCGGTAATTTACTAATGCCCCGGGATCAATTGAGTTTGTACTGCCCTGAAGATGCACCGGTTCATCAGCTACCTTACCTAGAGGATAGTTCCGGTTCGCACTGCCCCGGAGATCCGCTCATTACCTGAGTAACACAAGAGAGAAGTCACTGGTGAACGGGGTAAACCAGGAGACTGCACTAGCCTCTTCTTCCCCCGTTTAGCCAGAGTAGTATATAATATGATAGATGTAGTATATAAAATAACAATAAAATGTACACATATAACTTCGATATTTATAGCGGTGTCATAAATGTACAACAGCGCTTTGAAGAGCAGAACTCCCAAGCCAAAGTGCCGGGTTCTTTGCTAAAGGCAAAAAGTGATTAATGTGTACTGGCATAGGCCTCTTATACCCTCCTGAGAAGCAGCGTCGGCGACTTTGATTTGACGGCTCAGATAGAATAATTGCGAGTTCTAGTATAAGGTGTATCTCCACGTTTGAGTAATAAGGCGCTTTTACATTTCTTAATGGCACGCGGATTCGAATTCCCGGTAGCTTCGGTTTGGTAGTAAATTTGAATAAATCAATGATAAATTAATTAAAATATACTTCTGATCTCACAAGCTTATAACTCAATTCTTTAATTATAAAATCGTATGCATGGAATCTCCCCGTACTCCAAAAGAGCTATTTATTCAAACATGATTCGAGATTGGACAAAAAGTACCGTCTATCACCGTGGAATACTGAATTACCTTGAAATTCACGAAAGCTTCAAATAAGTTGACGTTCTACCCTCATTACAGTAGAATTTAGTTACAGACTGCGGTATACTCAGAGTAATGAAAGTAGATAGATGTATACATGAATATAATGTCACACCTGTATAACCACGAACAACATCATCATATACAATAATAAAAATTCTTGAGCGTACAAAAGGATCTTCAGTGGTATTATAGTCATCTATTTTTGATATCTCATCACACAGTTACGGTACTTGAAATCGTTACATATATATGAATACACTTTGTTTTTTAATATGGGGACTATAGAAAAGTAAAAAAAAAAAAACAAGTCAATGTGCCTCATCAGACTTGCTAATTCTGCTTGTAATACGCTACGTACTTAACATCCAAACGACTGTTACTCTGTATGTTGTTCAAAGTTGTTAAGAAATATAATATTTTAAACATACAGCATCACGTAACAGTCAAAGAAAAATAATAAAACCTTTATAAAGTCACCATGTATTGTAATTCTACTTTTCTCATCCTCCTGTACGGCTCGAAAAAAATTTTTAGCCGGTTCCACTCCGATGACAAATGTTTCCCTCCCCCATTGCTACTACAGTGGCACGTCATCATTTCCAAGTTCGCCCAGCCGTCCAATCTCGCGGAGGCAATCGTACCCCAGCTGAGCCCGTTTCCGCGTAAACGAAAATCGCGCTCCACTCGTCAGTACCAATCAGCGTGTAACGCACGATGACTCTCTCTCTCTCCTCTGCGTGTAGCACCCACCAACTTGTAGGTGTGTACGTACACACGCGAGATGATACCACGTAGGCCTTGGTACAGCCCATGGGTAGTCCACCGAAGCCATTAGTCGCCGGACACCTGACTCTCGTTTTGAAATATATGGCTGCGGAGTTTGCGTCCATGTGTACATTGAAAAAGTTGACAGCTCTATCGGAGAGGTACCGCGGTCGTATAGCGTTGTGCAGCGCAACAGATAACGGCATGACGCCAATTGTGGAATTGAAATAGAGAACGCGTACGTTGTACAATCGATGCGTGTTCATCAAGCTTGAGGGTTTTTATCAAACATATATGATTCGCGTTTATCTTCAGGGTTGTACTTTAAGTGTACTTTACAAGGCAACAAGTGTTGCTTGAAGGTACTTTTTTTAAATAACTAGACTGAAAAGTTATGGTTACGCCTGTTCTCGGTGATTCACAACTTGACCGACTGACCTGAATTACACCCGCGTTTTGCGAGCTTTAATATTAAGGTAGCAGGTGTGTTTTAGATTGCACCTGCGATCTCTGACTCTCGAATCGTACTTGTTTGTTGTTCAACGTTTGAAAGTTTATTCCAGATGACGTAGAGTATAACCCCCCGAACGTTGCTCTCAGTAAGTATTCTGGAACATTCCTTGGAGCCCAACTTAAGTAAATCAAACCGTTGGAATTATTAGTGTCGCAAAATGAAAAGCCTTGGAGTGTATAGTTATTATTAAGTTATATTAAATCACTGAGTTCTTTAATGAACTTTACAAATGTTTGATTCGATCGCAGATGAATATAATTAATCATTACAGTTATCTATTAGGGCACAGTTATAATAATTAATTCTGAGTCTAAGAAAATGATGATTTACTTTTGGTATCTAGTAAATATGAAGAAAAGATGAAGTGTAATGTACTACGTACTTTAAAGAAGTTTTAAGTGGAAATTTGTTGATACTTTTGACGAAATTACGTCATTAACATTACGTTCAAACTGTTTTGTATTTTAAAAGTGATGCCAGTTAAGTAACTCCTTTGCAACAAACATCTAATACTTTTCTGAACGCGAGTGAA